TATTATATTATATTATATTATATTATATATTAATTATATAGTATATAGTATATAGTATATATATTATTATATATGATTATATATTATATTAATATTATATAGAATTGTTATATATTATACATTATATATGATATATTGTACTATAATATTCTATTACATTATAAATTATATTACACTGTATTACATTACATCTAAACCGAATCTGCCAAGCACTCAACTCTGCACAAAGCTGCACTGCACTGCACTCATCTCATGCCAGCCGACAGTCCCGACACACACACACACACACACTGCTGGCCCTGACAGGCCAAGGGAACAAAACACCGTCACTTTGGGTAAACAATCTCCGTGGTGCATTCTACTTTTGCACAAACACAGGCACAGCAAGTAAGATAAGAGTTGTGTTTTCCTTCCCTGGTGCTCAGAGAGTGTGAAACCCAGAAATATTCCTGGGAGGAATTGTGCCTTGCTTTTCTCTGTGACGAGGAATGTGGCGGCGGGGTGGGGAGGGGCAGCCTGTCCTCCCCCCGTCACCCCCCACCACCCAGCTGGAGATTCTCATGGAGATTCCCCCTGGAAGCGCTTTGCTCCCGATTTTTACAGGGAACAGCTCTGCCCACGCGGATCCTTACCATGTCCGCAGAGGAAGAGGAGCAGGACAGCTCGGAGGAAGAGGCCGGAGTTTTCCCGCTGCCCTGGGCTCCTACGGTGGGCAGCTCTCCCCATTCCCATCCATGCAGAGCTTGGGGGGTCTCTCACCCTCCGGCAGCTCCCCTGCAAGCAGAGGTGGGACTGGGGAGACGGGACCGGGGGCTCCTGCAGCTGGCAGCAAGTCACCCCAGCGCGTCCCAGGCCGACACTTGTCCCCGGCTGGCACATCCACAGGGCTTTGGACACTTCCAGGGAGGTGACTCCACCCGGGCAGCCCATGCCAAGCCTTGGCCGCCCTTTTCACGAGGAAACTTCCCCTGATGTCCAAGCTAAACCCCTCGCTGGTGCTGCTTGAGCTGTTTCCTCACAGGGGTGGCTGTTGAGCGTGTCACTCCACCCTCACTTTGGGGACACCACGCGTGGCATCAGAGCCTGGGGCATCCCCGGGTGCCAACGACGTCCTTGGACCCTCATTCCTGCTTTCCCACCGCCCCCTCACCTGTGCCAGCCTCTTCAGGCAGCTCCTTCCCTGCGGGACACACGGGCGTCCTTGTCACGAGTGACAGCCACACAGACCCGTGGCACGACCCGGGAAAATTCCAGCCCCCCTGGGCTCCTCCCTGGTCCTGCAGCTGGGTAAATTTGGGGTCCCACCAGTCCGGGGGACGGAGGACGGAGCCCCCCGTAGCTCTTCGTCCCCGGGCACCTCTGCTCTGTCCTTTCCCCCGCGGGGCAGAGGCGGGGGTTGAAATCGATCCTTCTAAATTTAGCCGGGCTCTGATCCAGTCGGGAGCGACAGCCAGAGCCTGGAGAAGGTGGGGGACAGGAGCTCCAGGAGGAGGTGGGAGCCCCCAGACCCTGGGGAGCTTCCCTGGGTTTTCCTCTTTGGAAAGCCCCGTGGGCAGCACGCGGGAGCGAATCCCTGCGGAAAAGCTTTTCCCCGTGGGATGTGTCCAGCAGGGAATGGGATGTTCCCTTTCCCAGCGTTTTGTCCCCTGGGGCGCAGCCAAGTCCTGAAGGCAAACATGGCCAAAGCTGGCCAATGTCCCCAGGGATCGATGGCCAGTGTCCCCAGGGCTGGTGGCCGATGTCCCCAGGGATCGATGGCCAATGTCCCCAGGGATCAATGGCCAGAGCAGGGAATGGGATGTTCCCTTTCCCAGCGTTTTGTCCCCTGGGGCGCAGCCAAGTCCTGAAGGCAAACATGGCCAAAGCTGGCCAATGTCCCCAGGGATCGATGGCCAGTGTCCCCAGGGCTGGTGGCCAGTGTCCCCAGGGCTGGTGGCCGATGTCCCCAGGGATCGATGGCCAGTGTCCCCAGGGCTGGTGGCCAATGCCCCCAGGGATCAATGACTGCCAGACCGTGCTGGCTGCACTCCTGAAATCCCACCTACGCAGGTGAGGAAGCGGCTGCACCAAGCCCTGCTCCCTGCACGGAGAAGGAATGGTCAGGGATGTCCCAAACTGGGAATTCCCAGGTCCATCCCAGAGGCCACGGAGGAGGGCAGGGCTGGGAATTTGGTCCCTCAGCATTCCAGCACTCACAAATCCCTCTGGGGAAATCCTTCTGCGTCCTAAACCAAAATCCTGCTGCTTTCCACCTGCAGGGAGCAAACCCTGGTGCCCACCTGAGCCCAGGAGAGCGCTGGGACTGGGGTGGGAAGATGATATTGACTGCCAGACCGTGCTGGCTGCACTCCTGAAATCCCACCTACGCAGGTGAGGAAGCGGCTGCACCAAGCCCTGCTCCCTGCACGGAGAAGGAATGGTCAGGGATGTCCCAAACTGGGAATTCCCAGGTCCATCCCAGAGGCCACGGAGGAGGGCAGGGCTGGGAATTTGGTCCCTCAGCATTCCAGCACCCACAAATCCCTCTGGAGACGCACTCGGGAAATCCTTCTGCGTCCTAAACCAAAATCCTGCTGCTTTCCACCTGCAGGGAGCAAACCCTGGTGCCCACCTGAGCCCAGGAGAGCGCTGGGACTGGGGTGGGAAGATGATATTTGGGGAAGTCAGCCAGAGAGGTGGAAAAGTGGATCCCGCTCCTTTCCAGGGTGCACAATCAATCCCAAAGGATGCACTCTTCCTTCCATGCCATGCTTGGAAGGAAATAAACCCCATCCCTCCAGAAATAAAGGAAATAAACCCCATCCTTCCAGAAATAAAGGAAATCAACTCCTTTCCTCCAGAAATAGAGGAAATAAACCCCTTTCCTCCAGAATTAAAGGAAATAAACCCCATCCTTCCAGAAATAAAGGAAATCAACTCCTTTCCTCCAGAAATAGAGGAAATAAACCCCTTTCCTCCAGAATTAAAGGAAATAAACCCCATCCTTCCAGAAATAAAGGAAATCAACTCCTTTCCTCCAGAAATAGAGGAAATAAACCCCTTTCCTCCAGAATTAAAGGAAATAAACCCCATCCTTCCAGAAATAAAGGAAATCAACTCCTTTCCTCCAGAAATAGAGGAAATAAACCCCTTTCCTCCAGAAACAGAGGAAATAAACCCCTTTCCTCCAGAAATAGAGGAAATAAACCCTTTTCCTCCAGAAATAAGGGAAATTAACCCTATCCCTCCAGAAATAAAGGAAATAAACCCCATCCCTCCAGAAATAAAGGAAATAAACTCCTTTCCCACAGAAATAAGGGAAATTAACCCTATCCCCCCAGAAATAAAGGAAATTAACCCCATCCCAAGCACAAATCCCATCCCTCCATCCCCACACTCCACCAAGGATCCCAGCGCTCCACTTACCCCAGAAAATGCCACAGGGTGGGCACCAGATCCCCCCAGAGCCCCCAGAGGAAATTCCCGGTGCCTGCTCGGGGTGGGGATGGGAGGGAATCCCGGCTGTTGCCACCCGGGCTCGGAGCAGAGGGAGGAAAAAACAGCTGAAGATCGCGACAGGCGGATTTGTCACGGGGAGCGGGAGCTGAGGGGGCTCCGGCAGCAATTTAAAAATAGCCAGGGGGGATTTTGGATCCCGAAAGGCAAATTCCGGTGGGGAGGGTGAGGTGGGCGTGGGGTCCCTCCGAGCTGCCCGTCCTGAGGGTTCTCCAGGTGTGGGAGAGGTTTTACTGCGATTTCTGTGAGCCGGAGAGAAGTTTGGGAAGAGGATCCATGCTCACCCCGAGAGGATTTCCTGCCGAGGTTCTTGACACAGAAACCAAGGAAAAAAAATATAAATAAGAGGAACCTGTTGGAATAAACACTTTTTATTTTTCTCTCGTGACCAACAAGTGTAAATTTATGAGTTTTGTAAGGATGGATCAAAAGAATAAATAGAATAAAAAAAAAGGTTTGGAGCCTCCTGAGAATGGAGTGTTGCTTCGTGTTGTGAACATCTCAGCTGCAAGAAGGATTTGGGGATTTGGGGAGGAGGTTTTACAGCGATTTCTGTGAGCCACAAAGAAGTTGGAGAAGAGGATCCGTGCCACGAGGTGGCAGCAGGACTGGCAGGACCCCTCTGCCTTTTCTCCCCGCTTTCCGTGTACAAAAAAAGGGAAAAAAACCCCAAAAACAAACAAACAAAAAAGACCAAAAAAAACCCTTCTTTTAGTTTTTAGGGAATCTCATAAGGGCGGACTTGGAAGATGAAGGTGAACCTGGAAAATTAAGGATGAACTGGGAAAAATCAGGATGAAGGTAGGAAAATCAGGATGAACTGGGAAAAATCAGGATGAAGGTAGGAAAAGAATAGGGAAAAAATGAGGAGAAATAAAAAATGAGAGTGAATTTGGGAAATATGAGGACGATGATGGGAAAATAGGGGTGAATACGGAAAAATTAGGATAAAAGTAGGAAAATCAGGATGAACCTGAAAAAATCAGGATGAACTTGGAAAATAATTAGGGTGTACCTGGAAAAAAGGAGGAGAAATGTGAAAAATGAGAGCGAATCTGGAAAATATGAAGGCGATGATGGGAAAATAGGGCTGAACACGGAAAAATCGGGACAAAAGCAGGAAAATCAGGATGAACCGGGAAAAATCAGGATGAACCGGGAAAAATCAGGATGAAAATAAGGGGAAAAAAAATGAGGAGAAATAAAAAATGAGGAGAAATAAAAACTGAGAAGAAATAAAAAATGAGGAGAAATAAAAAATGAGAGCGAATCTGGAAAATATGAAGGCGATGATGGGAAAATAGGGCTGAACAAGGAAAAATCGGGATAAAAGCAGGAAAATCAGGATGAACCGGGAAAAACTGGGTCCGTGAGAACCCCAAAATTCAGCCCCTCTTGGGAAATCGCGGCCCCGAGCACACCTGGCCCCGCCCCCACACATCACTCCCCGCCCTTTAGCCATATAAGGATAAAAAGGAGTGGTCTGCGCGTAGGGGGCGGGGCTTTCGCCGCCGGTGGGGGGTGGGCGAGGTTACGCGGTGCACGTGACGGCGGCGTCACGTGACGGCGGCGGCGATCCGGAGCGGAGCGGGCGGTGAGGGCCGTGAGGGCACCGGGGGCACCGGGAGGGCACCGGGAGGGTCCCGAGGGTCTCCGGCAGCGTCTGCTGGTCCCCGGGGGTGTCCTGTGGGAGGATCGCGGGGGACAGGCGGGCTCTGAGGGGGAGGTCAGGCCTTTCCCGAGAGCTCCGGGCCCGGCAGCTCCCCGGGACACCGCCGTGCCCGGGGCTGGGGCTGGTCCAGCAGGGCTCCCCCAGACTCGCCGCCCCCAGCACCCCCTTATTCCGAATTCCACCCCCCAGCCCCCCTTTGTTAACCCCTTCCAGCCCCCTCTCCTTTCCTCTCCTGGGGGGGTTTCTCTCCTTGCACCCCCAAATCCCACAGCCCTTCTCCAGTGCTGGTTCCTCTCCTGGGGGGGTTTCTCTCCTTTCCTTCCTCTCCTGGGGGGATTTCTCTCCTTTCCTCTCCTGGGGGGGGTTTCTCTCCTTTCCTCTCCTGGGGGGGTTTCTCTCCTTGCACCCCCAAATCCCACAGCCCTTCTCCGGTGCTGGCTCCTCTCCTGGGGGGGTTTCTCTCCTTTCCTCTCCTGGGGGGGTTTCTCTCCTCTCCTGGGGGGTTTCTCTCCTTGCACCCCCAAATCCCCCCCCTCTCTTGCAGCCCTTCTCCCATGCGGGGTCCCCTCCTTGCGGCCGCCGGGGCAGCCATGGGGGGCGCGGGGGGTCCCCTGGCCCGCACCATCCGTGCCAAGCTGACGGCGGCCCTCCAGCCCACTCACCTGGAAATTCGGGACGACTCCCCCCTCCACGGGGGCCCCCCCGGAGCCGAGACTCATTTCGGGGTGCTGGTGGTGAGCGGGCGCTTCGCGGGGCTGCCGCTGCTGCAGCGGCACCGCCTGGTGCACGAGGCGCTGCGGGCTGAGCTGGCCGGGCCCCTGCACGCCCTGCAGCTCACCGCCCGCACCCCCGAGCAGTGGGAGGGTGACCCCCAAAACCCCCCCGCGCCCCCGTGCCTGGGGGGCTCCAAGAGGGAGAAACGCCGCGCGGCCCGGGAGGAGGAAGAGGAGGAGGAGGCGGGGAAGCAGTGACGGCTCTGGGAGCCCCCCCAGCAACAACGGGACCCCCCTCAAGAACCCCCCCAAGAGCTGTGTGGGGCTGCCAGGAACAGCGTGGGGCAACGAGACCCCCCCCCAGGAACAGCGTGGGGCTCCTGGGACGCCCCCCAGGAACAACAGGACCCCCTCAAGAACTGTGTGGAGCTGCCAGGATCCCCCCCCAACCAAGAACAACGTGGGGCTCCTGGGACCCCCCCCCAGGCTGCCAGGACCCCCCCAAGAACAACGGGACACCCCCAGGAACAGCGTGGGGCTCCTGGGACACCCCCCAGGAACAACAAGACCCCCCCAGGAACGGTGTGGAGCTCACGGGACCCCCACCCTGGTGCTTGGGAGGGGACAAAAATAATGGGGGTGACCCCCCCCCAAACCCCCCACCCCCTCCCTGCTCCCACCCCGGTGGGATTTTTGGGGTGTCCCTCCCATTGAATAAACGTGTTCTGTGGGCAGCTGGGGCTGGAGAATCCTTTTTTTTTGGGGGGGGGGCGAGGTGGTGCTTTTTTTTTTGGGTGGGGGTTGGACACTATTTTGTGCTCTTTTTTTTGGGATGGGTTTTGGGTTTTTTTTTTTCCATTTTAATTAATTTACAAACACCTGAAACTACAGCACGGCACGACAGAGCTACAGGGGGGGCCGGGGGGGGCCCCCCAAGGACCAGCTACACCAAGGAGGGGACAAAGCACACGGGGGGGCTGCTTGGAAGGGGGGGGGGCTG